CAGGTGCCTATGATTGTGTGTGTGAGTGTGTTGTGTGTGTTTTATTTGAGACGTGTGTGTAAGTGTGTGTATGTGTGTTAGTATTCCTCTCAGTGATCTGAAGATGTAAGGGGTTAATGTTGGTTGGAGTAAGGGTTTGGGGAATAGAGAGGGAAAGAAGGAGAAAGAACACAGCGTGTAGACAGAAAACAAACAAGCAAGATGTAAAAAACATTAAACACATAAATTCAAAGAAACTACAAAACCAAAGAGCAAAAGTGCTGTACATGGTGAAATTAAGGTGCATATTTTCAATTCAAGTCAGCGTCATTGTGGTGAAAGCATGTACGGCGAGTGGAGTGATATTCAAAATAGCCAGGGGGTTATTGTTATGTCACGGTACAGTTGTCCGTTAATGTAAGATTTGTCGACTGAGAGTACTGTTTTTTTTCCTTCCTGTATGTTCTTTTTGCGGATGGGGAGTAGTGTTTTGCACCTGTCCATTATTTCTTGGGGGAATTGATCATTGATGCCAAAGTCCGTGCCTTTAAGATTATGGCCATGTCGTTGTACCTGTTGTTTTTGTTGGAAGTGTTCGAATTTGGCAATTATGGGTCGCGGGCGTTTGTTTGCGGTGTTCTTGGGTCCAATGCAATGTGTACGGTGAAATGTAATGTCCGTCACAGCGTCCAGGGGTATTTTCAGATGGGTGGTCATGAAATCCTGTATTAATTGTTCGGGGTTGTCGTTGTGTTGTTCAGGTATACCGGAGAAGACTAGATTGTCTCTCATGCTCGGGAATTGAAGTTCAAGGATTGATTCTTTCATTTGTTTATTTTCTTGCAGTGGTTAGTGCGCGAGCCCCATGTATGGAGGCTGTCGTCTCAAGCGGGTGGCCTGGGTTCACATCCCACCTGTGGCCTCTTTCCCGCATGTCATTCCCCACTCTCGCTCCCTGATTTCCGACTCTATCCACTGTCCTATCTATCAATTAAAAAAGGCCCAAAAAGCCCAAAAATAAATCTTAAAAAAAAGTGCAGTGACAAGACGCTTTTTTTACATTAAAAGAATGCACAGTTTGTTTCTAAAATAAAAACCCAGTTTTAGCCTCAGCTTTTTCACCTGGCACAGTACATTAAAAATTAAGGGAGTCATCAATTAACACACCAAGGTATTTATTACAATAGTGTACAACTTCAATTTCCTTTCCATCAACAGTAGAAACCACAGGTAGATTTTGTGACCTGGTCTTTGATCTGGTAAAAAACATAAGCTTGGTCTACATTTAAAACAAGTTTCAGCTCATGCAGTGTATTATGAAGGACAACAAAGGCATTTTGCTAATTTTCAACAGCTTGTGCAAGAGATGCAGCACAGCAGTACACAATAGTGTCATCAGCATAAAAAAATAAGGTAGAATTTGACACGTTTTGACCCAGATTATTCACATAAATGGTAAATAAAAGTGGACCTAATACAAAGCCCTCATCATGGTGGACTTTGTCAAAAGCTTTTGACAAATCAATAGAAAGTGCAGCACAATGTTGTTTCTTGTCAAGTGCTACAGAAAAGTCGTTAACCACTTTCAGCGCAGCTGTGACAGTGCTACGCCTTTTTCTTTAACCTGATTGATAAGGTGATAAAATATCATTGGTGTATAAAAACTATTTTAGCTGATCACTCACAAGAGATTTAATGATTTTAACCAGTACTGACAAATTTGATATAGGCCTTTAGTTGTTCAAAATACTCTGGTCACCCCCTCACATGGCATGGAACAATAGCCAATAGGGAAGCAAGCTAACTCAAGCAGGAAGCACAACAAACATTACCATGGCGACAACAGAAATCGCAGAGTACAAAGTTAAATGGATGTCATGAATTCAGGACCAACTTTTTGATTTGTGGCAACAACACGAGTTATATAACAACATGTCTGTAAAACAAACCACAATCCAACTGACAAGGAAAGGAGTCGGACCAAAATGTTTACCGTAGTGGCTCTACCAGCTAATCACATTTAGCTTGCCCGTCATGTTTGTTTACTTACTTACTCGGTTAGTCTGTGGTGTGCTGAGTTGATTATCTTGTTGAAAACCACACACCATGAGATCCGAAATATTAATCGGTCATGATTTTTGTCATGTGTGGGGTCTCTCACATTTTCAAAATCGTTTAAGATTTTAAAAATCGTTTAGTGTGTACTAAGCTTTAGTGCCTCACCACCCACCTGTGCTTCTTTATGACCTTGCTGCCTGAGAGTTTCTTCTGGGAAAGCTTGCCTACTTCTTGTTCAACGCCAGCCCTCAGTCGCCACAACCTGCCTTAAGCCTATTGAACAAAAATTTAAATGGAACAGCTTAAAAACTGTGTTTGTCTCTGTCTTTGCATCTTGGGGTCCAAACTCAAGAACTCTAACATAACAAGTTCCCTTCTAAAGCAATTCATTCTTTTCTCTGGAAAATCTGAGTATTTTGACTTTATCATGGAAGTTGAGGAGTTTGATTAGAATGGGCCGAGATAGCGCTGTCATCTCGCCGAGTTGTAGGAGTACGGTGAACCCTCTCGATGTCAGGTGGCTCAGGGAAGTTCTCCTGCCCAAAGAGCTCCGGGATTAGCTGTGACATGAAGCAGATGGTGTTGCGGCCCACCACTGACTCTGGAATCTGGATAAAGCAGAGATTTAAGGATCGGCTTCTGTTTCCAGGTCCTTAACTTTGTCCACCAGTAAGCATTTTTTTTTGCTGCAGCTGCAGTCTGAAGATCGTGGACGTTGTCTTCATTTGAGCTGACTCGTTCCAGCTCAGAAACTTGTTCTCCTAAAGTGTTTAATTAAGACTGAATATTACACAAACTGCTGTGGGTGGGATCCATCTTTAATTCAAAATGGTTCAACAAATCAGTTTTGATGTTTTGGATGGTGTACCATTCGGTTAACAGGGAGATCTGGCCTTCGTCCATTTTCTTTTGTGTTCAGCCTACACAGATCAAACTACCACACGGCTAAATAATCTTGACTTGACGTGTAAAACTATAACGCTTCTTTAGGCAACCCGATCATTGAGGGGACTGGAGACCCACGTGTGTAGGAGAGACTGCATGTTACAGAGACTTGTATTTTATTTTGGACTTGTGCAGATGCAGCAGCCAGCACTGTTCACATTAAATGAGAAACCAGTAGCAGTTTGTGTTCTGAGTCCTTCTTCCATCAACAGAACAACACAACACAACGCAGATAACACTACCACTAACGGATGTGCATCCAGTGAGGTTTAGAACTTCAGCAGGACAGGCACACCCGTTACATAAGGCTTAGTTCTACCTGATAACTGTGTGTTAGAAATATCTTATTCTTTCCAAATTTCCATTTTTCTAATGCAACCCCCCTAATTTTGGTAGTTTGGGCAGCAGGAAGGCACTATATAACACTATATAAGTCCATGTATCAATTACCATTTATTACAATTCTCTTTTACACTATTTTCTAAGTGAGCCTGCAATTATTTCTTGTATTGTGTAAAAAATACAAGGAAAAAAGGTTCAGTGAGGGGTTCTTCATTGAATCCAATAAAGCCAATGTATCTGTTGTTTTTTTTGTGCCCTATCAAAAAAAGGGTTAGTCCTGAATTCATTTTCTATGTATACGTATAGCACATATTTCTGCTTCCCTCCCTCAGAAAATCCACTGCAATCATTCTAATACACAACCTCAAAATACAGCAGCCTCTGAAATAAACACATACAATGAGAGAGGAGGAAATGTATTGCTTTCAGGTACTTGGTTTCGCCCCACCTCCACCATTGGCGCTATACAAATAATGATTGATTGATTGATTTCCTTGCGATCTAACCTTTTTCGTCCTGTAAGGTCCAGAGCATCAGCCAGATTTAGGACACACACACACACACACACACACACACACACACACACACACACACACACACTCTTCTCCCCCTGTGTCTCAGTCCCAAATCACTGAACAGTACACAGCCAATAGCACATGTATGATTTAGCTTCGCCTTGCCTCTATGGCTTCAAACAGAGATGGTACATCCAATCAATCCGATTTCTGAACCCACATAAGCGGACCACCCCACTGCCACTCCCCAACCCCGACACCAGCACCGCATGGAGTTATCGACCACTTCCATCCAGGGTTTGAAATAACATGCTGGTGAAGTCAGAGTCAGGATAATCAGAAGAGAGCTGCTCTCTTTGTGTCTGACTATATGTCTAAACTAAAGCCCAAGGATTTTCTTTGAATTATTTAAAACTTCTTCCACTTAATACATTTTTCAATGGCTCCAAAGTCCCCTAAGCCTGGAGAAACTCCCGTCTCTGTTGCTTCTTGTACAAAATAAGCCGAGTTTTAGTACACTATGAAAAGTTTTCGGCTTTTCAGTTTTTGTAAAAAAGGTGGATTGTCTCTTGCAATATCCCTTCAATGAGTTGAGAAGCAAACCTTTTCTAAAAAAAATACGTGTTCAAGCAAGCTTTAATGATCAGCTTTAAACATCTGGGCCATTCTTTGGATTCAGCACAGACAAGGACTTGACAAATTGTATATTCAAAGCTGTGCTGAAGTGGCCAAATAAACTCTGCTTCCTAACCACAGAAGTAGCAGCTGTGAAACATATCTCAAGCTTCTTCTCATTTGTGTGCGTGTGTGTGTGTGTGTGTGTGTGTGTGTGTGTGTGTGTGTGTGTGTGTGTGTGTGTGTGTGTGTGTGTGTGTGTGTGTGTGTGTGTGTGTGTGTGTGTGTGTGTGTGTGTGTCTGTGTGTCTGTGTGTGGGTGTATGTAAGTGTGTGACAAGGAAAGAGTACAAGTGAGTTTAAGTGTCTTAGGGTGCAGTTATGCACATTGCACACAGACATGCAGCAATAGGGCAACTAAACATGTGAATAGTAAAGTTACCTCTGCCTCATTTAAAGGCTCACTGAAGGCTTGTATTTTCATTGTGTTGCACCAAAATAAAATCTGAGCTTTTCAGTGCCATTACATTGTTCAAGAAATACTTACTTTTCCAGGGTCATCTTTGGAGCGAGGCACTTTGAGAAAACACTTGTTCAAGGACAGGTTGTGTCGTATAGAATTCTGCAGGGAGAAAAACGGACAGAGCAGAAGCAGAAAAAGGAAGGGGAAGAGAAGAAGAAACAGGTTTACTCAAGACTAAATCCACTTTTAAAGATGTAAATTACATTTTAGGTTACTTATAATGCTGTTAGCTGATTCTGATTGACCTTCCATTGAAGGATAGTTCCTGTCCTTTTGATAAAAGGTTAAAAAACTGGAGGCCAGTACCATCCAAGATATATCTCAGGGGCTTATATAATAAGTAATGGGACAGGAGAATCCCAGAAATAAGTATAAATACAAATGTTTTCTGACCTCTTTTCTTGTAAAATACCAGTAATTTCCTTCCTTACTATTTGGTGCTCATTGCTCATAACTCATGGGAATTTAAACCTCAAGGGCTCAAAAATATTTTTTACATTTTAACTTCAATCCTCCTCCCTGATTGTAACCTACAATCTTAAAATATCTGGCATCTGTCTCAGATCTGTCTTCCACTTTTCACTATTTACTATTTTGGAGTTAAAAAAGATTATGCAGTTATACAAACACAAAAGCAAGCCGTTATGCTGCAGATGTAGAAGGCTGTATTGATTAAAGCTGTGGTGAATTTGACTTTTTATAAAGATGGCTGAAAAGCATTCAGTGTGGACAGAGGGAGGTTGGGGAAACAAAATAACAAGTCTAAGCTGTGAGGAGAGGGCGTGAGAGTCACTTAATGTGGGGTGTCCCTGTTGGGATGAGGTTAAAGCGCCACTGTCACCATTATTGAAACAGATTTCTATGCAAATTCATAGGTTTGCTGACAATTAGAGTAACCAGTCATTTTTATGCTTTGTAACATATTCTGTTGTAAATTTCTATTTACTGTATGTGAGAGTATGAAAGCAAAGGAGATGAGGAGAGGGAGGGAGAGGAAATGCCCTCAATAGTGAAGATTAACCTGACATGAACTTGTTCTCCCTTCAGGCTCTATTCTTCACTCATCTGCTGCTGCTAATTAATACCACTTGGGAGGAGATGGGGAGAAGATGGAGGGATGGACGTTTTTCTATGCTCTTTCTCCTGAGCTCACTGCCTTTGTTTCTCCTACAAAAACCACCTCCTCTCTCCGTATCAGCCTGCTCAAACGCTGCCTCTTCTTGCTGGAGAAAAGCTCATGCAGGGGTCAGTTGCTCTACTTGGCGGGTCAGTGGCTGAATTTGGCCATCAATCTCTTCCAAAAGTTATTTCTGCACACCTGTGCACTGCTTGCTATGCTTGTATAACCCTGTGTGTACAGTCGGGTCCTCTGGCATGTGTTCTCTGTTGGGTGAGGTTAATACAGTATGGGCGCACTCACACCAGGCAAAGTTGCCTCGCACCGTGCTGAATTGTCACAATTGCCCCCCCTTCCCATTACCTCCCTGGCCTGCATTGCTCAAGGACTAACCCGGTCTGAGCATGGTTAAGTCTTTTACATAACGTTGGAATACAACACATGCATGGATTTACAGTACATGATCATAAAGTACGTTAGTTTACAAGACAGGCGGACTCAAAACATCGGAGAACAACACAGAGAACATGACTGCATTGCCTGACTTTGTGGCTTATTCTGAGTGATTTTAGTCAGATACAGACATTGCACTTTGGGATTACTTGAGAAAGGGGGGATTGTTTATGTTCACGTTGTGTACCCGTTCTGGGGCTCGTGCATAAGCAACTGTACCGTGCCGAAGCACACCTCTCCCAAACATCACAGGGCCAAGGAAGTGTAACATGCTTAAGCACGGAATTAAAGGGTAACTAAACCCCACATTTAAAATGCCTTTAGAATGTCAATGTATCAACTTCGAGAGGGATGGGGGCAGGGGGGTAAGACACGCCCACTCACTCCTTCTGCCGCAACATGATACAATGTTTGCCCCTCTCACACAAATAAACCCCTATGTGCTGCAGGCTGTGTATGGGACATACATGAAGCTCTAAAGTGAAATGCAAACACCAGATCTCAATAGGTCAGTTTTACAAAATCAATACAGAGAATAGTTTCTAAATATTTTTATTCATAACATGTAGTTTACAAAGTCACCTGTGTGATTCATTATCCTTGCTTCGGAGTACATCAAATTATTCTCATTTAGGACAAAGCACTGCAAAAAGGCTGACCATTATTTTGTTATATTCATTTTTCACAGTTCCTACAGACACCTGGCATACCCCAATTTTGTGCAGTGGTGCTGGGAAATACCTGGGCCAGCAAATCAGGCGAGACAGAAATACAACACTGTCAGAGATAGCTTTTTTATTATCACGGAGGGGCTTCAATTAATACTATTTGTAAACTGTAAAACATACTCCACTCCGTTTCCCAGTTTAAATTATAAACTACAATTGATTTTGAATATGTCTGCGATTGATCAGGAGTATTTCATAAGAATCATCAAAAATAAAAACAGCAAAATTAATAAGCACATTAGGGAAGAGACATCAAACGCCTGGAATTGGTGCTGTGCAGCTTGAAGAACAAATTGTTCATGTCTCAGACGCCGTCGTCCATGTAAAGATTGCAACCAGGCAGTACACAGCAGTCTGAAGTGTATTCACTTGGGGTGACAGGAACTTACTGCCTGCAAAAAAAGTGTGTCAATGTAGCCTTCAGTGTACAGATAAATTAGAGTTATAACACAATTTTCCATAGATTAATAATGATGCCACTCATATTTCCAAAAACAAATTACCTGAAGTAGGATGACTCTTCAGTGGGCAGTGAAGTCCCCATGTTTATATTTAGGATACACCACAATAAGAGTTTCTGAGTTGAGACTCTTTTGACTGGGGTGGAGCTCGCCCTTGGACCATCAGGGATTGCAAGAGCTTCAGGAACAGCCATGAAAGTGCCTGTCTCACATGACACACTTCTGTTAGGAGTCCGAGACTGAGGAGCTGTGCAGAGAGAGAGAGAGAGGGGTTCTAGATTAAACTTTTTACAAATGAGCAGCAAACCGATCAGTTTAGGCTGAAACAGAACATATGCTATATCACCATTCTACTTTATCCCAGCTATTGTTTGGATAATACTCGTGCTTATTAACAGCAGCTCATACCCACTTCAACCTTTTTTACACTTCAATAGACAGCAAATATAAAGTTCACAAGTTGCCTATGACCACTCTATGGTTTTATAGTTTCTAATAAACAGAGCACTGAGGGACTGGTGATGAGTGGATCTGTGGAGCTATGAGAGCACTTGACGCACGTTAGAGGTATATTTAAAAAAAAAAAAAAGTACATTTCAAGAAAACGTTGATATACTGTTTAGTAAATAAACCTTGTGGAGAGCAGATTTGAAAGACTTCTAAATTATAGACAAGTGAGCAAAGGAGCTGGGCAGCGCGTGCCTAGTTGAACTTCAATTTATTTGATTACGTCTAGACCTCTCACAAACCCCTCTATGTGTGCGCAAAGATGGAAAGCTCCAACCTGCTGTGACTTTTATCACCTTGCACAAAGTATGATAAACACGATACGGACTATTATAGTAAACGAACGTATCCCTTAAAACGGGGGAAACATAAGGGTGAACTTTCACACGAGCTGATGGTTAAATTGTACATTGTGCTCGCATCCCTGGTACAGGCTAATGTTACCAGCCAAGCATATTAACCAGCTCTCCTGAAAAACGTTACAGCACGGCCTAATTATTGCAATATTCATCACTTTACCAGCTTATACACAGAATCTATAGGACCGCAGGATAACGTTAGGCAATATGTCTATAAGTGCGCTCTTTTCCCGAAGCCTAACCATTATCTTCGCCAACGTCATTTACCTTGAGCAGTTTATTTCCCCATAAAATTAGCCAAGCAGACATGTGACTGTTAATAAAATGCCTATTACCAACATACTATTTATTCACTCACCTCAATATTCAAAGGACTTGGACTTACAGCTGCTGTGACTGTCCTCCTGTTGTCGGCACCGGGAGAGCAACGTCTGGCACTGCATCAGGTTTTAGCTTGGCCAATTTAGAAAAACCCAGTTCCACTTCCATGATGTTGGAAAAACAATCTTTGGAGAAGTGATGGTTGCACTACCAAGCTGTAGGTGGGAGATCACGGTCTGGTAGCCCCAAAGCTACCAGACCGTCTGGTAGCCACTGGTGCTGCTTGCTTTGGGGTGCCTAATTTCAAGGTTCGCTGTAAGCTGTTGTTACGTTGTATGTTGTTTTGTCCCCCTCTGCTGGTTGTACTATGTTTGTAACCTGTCGACTAATTGCTTTTGTCTCTCCATAGGGTTGGGGGTGATTGAGGACGGTGCAAATAAGAAGGCAGAAACTGCCTGGCTCTCATCCCTCTCTCTCCTTGGCTCCTGAGAGTCACAACAGAATGTCTATTCAGTATCAATGTTGTCTGAGTAACCTGGTAGAGTGTTTATCCCTTTATCACGGCTTTTGTTCATTGTTTTAAGGGATCCTGTAGTTTTGGTGGTAGAGGGTGAGTGCCTGGTCCTACGGCCCTGTGTGGGCTGGCTTGGGTGGCTGACCTTTCTTTTTTGTTTTGTTTTGTACCCCAGGTTTTCAGCTTATAGTTTTGTTGTTTCTTTGTCCACATATATATGTTATTAAGCAAATTCAGATTGTAAAAATAAACCTTTTCTTTGAAATAATTTAATCTCTGATTGATTTATGTTCGACTCCCGGTAAAAACTAGTCATTAATTTAGGGGTCGTAACAGATGTGCAACCCGGAGCTGCTACTGCAGCCGGGGCAGAAACTGCCGACCCATCCTGGCCACTATCTAATAAATACTCTAAAAACAAAATGCTAAATCAAATAACTAACCAAGTTTCCTAAAAGTCACTGTGCTAAACTACGCGCTAAAGCTAACATACAATTAAAGCTAAGCCACTAGCTAACTAATATTGATAAGATCTAACAATCAATCTACTGCCTACAACCTCCAACTAACTTTGAAAATACTATAAACTCACAACTCTACAATCTACACTAAATTAATCTATACTAACAGCACAATCCA